ACAAGAGAATGTCATGGGGGTGGGGAGATCAATGCTGGATTGACCGCCCTGGGGGTGGAATTTCTCAGCTGGACTGTGGCATCATGGGCCCTGGCAAAGCAAGCATCCACTGCCAGTGCAGCTCCTTCCTCAGCCCAGGGGGCCCTCCTGGGAACTTCTCCGGGCGTGGGAAAGTTTATTCTCATCTCCTTCCCCCCCACCCCGGAGCTATTATACCCATCCATGCTACTGCTGGGGAACTGAGGCACAAAGAGACTACGTGCCTTGCCCAAAAGCACACAGGAAGCCCATTGCAGCACAAGGCATTGAACCCAGCTCTCCCGAATCCCAGCTTAGCCCCCTAACCAAAGACCCATCCATCCTCCCATGCAATGGGTGGCTTGCGGTTTAGCTGCAAGTGAACCCAAGGACCACTACAGGAAACGGGATTGAGTCGCGGGCTTCCATCAGTGCTGAGTGTGCCCGTGCAGTGTAGATCTGCCAGAGACTCGGCGGGGGTTATTAGTCTCAAAGTATATCATTTTTGCTGTGAGGCCTTCAGGATGTTTTCATCCGAGTCTCTTTCTCTGGTGAAAGGATAAAGAACCAGGTCATGCACCGCACTAAATACCCTCTGACAGATGGTTGGGAGACCTCAAGTTCTCGCTGAAACACTCACTTGCCCCATGCTAGGAGATACTGGCTTTGCACTTAGTGCCGATGTAAGGTAACCTGACTGGACCAGTGCATTGGCCATGCATGAGCAGAAAGCAAGGAAACCTCAGAGTTTGGATTCCTTTACCCATCCCTGGAATGCTCTCAGAGGCAGGGAGTGGTGTCTAGTGGTTAAAGTAGGGAAGGCAAGTTGGACTCCTGGCTTTTATTCCCTCACCCTTGCTGTGTGAACTTGAGCAAGTTGCTTAAATACCCACACTTCTCTGCCTTCGTTTTCCTATCTGTAAAACAGGAATAATAATAACGACTGTGTGGGAGGTGGACAGAGGATTTGAGGCTTAATTGAGCTGCTCTCGGAGCCAAAGAAGAAAAGAGCTAACTAATAATGTGCATTTAAATTGTACCTTTCTCCTCAAGGTCTCCAGAGTGACAGCTCAGTTGGAATGAAGCCCCCTCTGGGGTAGAAACCAACAGATGCCCAGTGTGCTCCACAACTGGGAAGTAGGAAGAATTTTCACCTGGAACGCTATGGCCAACCCCTACTCTCTCAGAAAATGCCATGGGATATTTAATGGCCACCGATGAATGAGTCTAACCTGAGCGACCACAATCATAGTCAGTTGCAGGGAAGTCAACATCGCTAATTTGTGGAAGGCTAAGAGCAAAGAGATGGTTTGGTCATAAGGAGTCTAGAGATTACCCAACCTGTGCAAGCCAACACCTGTGAACATGATCCAAAGTGGCTCGGAGAGGTAGAGATCTTCCCTCGACAGTAATGGTCTAGATGGGGTTTACCAAAGGCTAAAATCCTCCTCCGTTGAGCTGTCCTCAGATACATTCATTTTTGCCTTGGCTGAAGTCCATCAAATGTAATTGATGTGTTTTATCAGGGGCCCCTGTGTGGGGGCACTTGGTCAGTCTCCTGATGAGTCTCTCAGGACCTTCCTCTCCAACTCGCGGGGATGAGTCTGTTCAGTCTCTGGGGATGGGATGGGGTGGGAAAGCTGTGGGGCCAGAGAGAAGCAGGACTGTGCTAGGGATTAGAATTAAAAGATGTAGGTCTCCAACTGGAGTTACTGTACAAGCCAAAAGGAAACCCAATAGCCTGGAAAGCGCAATGATTTGTTCAGAGAAGGGCAGGGAACTGAGATAAAAAAGCCCTGCTAAGATCAGAAACTCTGGCGTGCACAGTGCCCCATTGTTGAGCTGTCACACTTCCCTTTACTTTATTGCTTTTGTCCAACACCCTATTGTTCCACTTCCTTTTGTCCCCTATTCAGAGCACTGGCTTTTCATTACCCAGCCGGCCTTGTTGTTTTCATTTCTTTTGTTTGAAGTTCCTGAGAGGAAGGTTTTATTTTCAGCGGTTTGATTAATTCACAGCTTGAGCTGGGCTTTGTTTGTTATGTAATTGCTGCCCTGCGCTTTTCCAGAGCCCCCAGAGCCTCGGCGCAGCCGCTGCTCTGGCCTCACTCCCCTCCTTCTCTGGCTTGAAATGGCCTGGAGCGTGCAGCATCGTTCCAGGTGCGTGTTCTTTCTATGGGGTCTTTGGGGGTCTCCATCAAGTCACGTTTTAGAACATAAGAATTGCCACTTCAGAGCATAACTAGCCCTCTGTCCAGCCCCGTGTCCCGCTACCTGCAGCACCAGAACAGACCCAACGGTCCGTCTGGTCTGGTATCCCTCCGCCTTCCACGCCACAACCGACCCAACGGTCCGTCTGGTCTGGTATCCCTCCGCCTTCCACGCCACAACCGACCCAACGGTCCGTCTGGTCCGGTATCCCTCCGCCTGCCGCGCCACGACAGACCCAACGGTCCGTCTGGTCCGGTATCCCTCCGCCTGCCGCGCCACGACAGACCCAACGGTCCGTCTGGTCCGGTATCCCTCCGCCTGCCGCGCCACGACAGACCCAACGGTCCGTCTGGTCCGGTATCCCTCCGCCTGCCGCGCCACGACAGACCCAACGGTCCGTCTGGTCCGGTATCCCTCCGCCTGCCGCGCCACGACAGACCCAACGGTCCGTCTGGTCCGGTATCCCTCCTCCTACCATGGCACAAGACCCAGTGATCTGTCTAGCCTGGGATCCTGTCTCCAACAGTGGCCAATGTCAGGGAGAGTGTAAATCCCCTCCTTAATGCCCCTATATTTTCATTATTTCCCTCTGGAGGGAGTGGTGAGGGAAGGGGTAATTTTTTTCCTGGTCCCCTACTGCTGACTAATTCATGCTCTGGGGCATCAGGGCTGGTGGCTCTTATTAGGCAAATCCCTGCTAGAGCAGTTGTAGATGATCTCTTTCCCCATAGACATGTCTAGTCCTTTCTGGGACTTTGCCTCGGTAGAACCAGTGAGCACGGGGCTCATACCTGGCTCGTGAGACGAGCCGTGGTCTATATCCTGGATTGTCGTATATTCACCTGGAAGCCTTGACCCCGTGGCACCACAAGCAGCTGCTACAGTGCAAATGGGTTTGCAAATAACATGGATGCTTTTTTTATCTCCCTTTAAATTGCAGGCACTTCCCAGGCACGGGTTCCCCTTTTGCCTTGACTCACTTTGATTTTTTTTTTTTTTTTAAATCCCTTGTAATGTTTAGTGGTTATTTCTGCTTCCTGATCCCCTGAGCAGAGCCACCTGCACAGGGTTCTCCTGGCGTCCTGCTTGCCAAGTGTTCCTCTGGAGAATCTGACCTTTTATAGTAAACTTGGACGAAGGGGGGCGGGGGTGTTAGCCTGGCTCCAGCCAAACTTCAGCTGATGGAAGTTAGGAAGAAACTTTCTTATTGGGCGGGCTGCTCTTAAACCTTACTTTGAAGCAGCTGGCACTGGCTAGTGGCAAAGACAGGAGACTGGGTGGGTTCGAGGGACCCTGGTCTGGGGACTCCTCAGAGAGGGAGGGAGAGAGACTTTTGTGGTAAAAGAAGCTTCTTCTAATTAATCTGGTTGAAATCCTGGCCTTGTTGAAGTCAGTGAGAGCTTTGCGATTGACTTGAGTGGGACTGGTATTTTACCTTCCCTTTGCAACAGGAAACATGTCTGACTTTGGCGTTTTGGAGACTTTTCTTGGTGCTGCCGTCTAGGGTAGTTGGGAGCCCCTTCTGTAGATGTCTGGCTTGTCTGGCCACAATACCATGAGCAAGGAGTTCCTCAAGTCTCCTGCAGGTTCAACATATCCTTAGGCATGTCACCTTGGGCCCAGTTCTTCAAAGGAGCTGAGCCCCTGCAGCTCCCATTGACTTCCACTGGAGTTATGGGCACCCAGCATCTTTTGAAAAGTTGGGCCCTTGACCTGTCCAGGCCTCATCTGGAATGTGGGGGTAAGAACAATTGTCTTCTTCCTGGGGGTGTGCGTGTGGAAGGTAATGAGTTAATCTTCGTAGAGCATGTTGAAGCATTCTCAGGTACAGTTGGGGGGAAAGCGACTCTCTATATAACTGTGGGCAGCTCAGTGGCAGAGCTTGGGTGCAGAACCTGGGTCTCCTGACTCCTTGTATCCTGTCCTCTGACCAATATTGAATAGGAGCCAGAGCTCCCGGGCTCTGTTTCCAGCTTTGTCGATGACTTGTTGTACCTCAGATTGCTCATCTATGCAATGGGTACTGCTGTTCTTCTCACTCGTGCTCTGGAGGGTTGTGAGACTTCATAAAGTGGTGCAGGATCCTTTCCGGAAAGCGGCTAGGTAAATACAAAGTACAGTCGTTTCTTCAGGAGTTCACGCGCTTGTTTTGGCCCCAAATCCCATGCCTCTATGCATTTTGGTTTTTACTAGACCAACATCACCGCATGGCATCACACGCAGGAGGGTGGTTGGGTTTGTTCTCCTGGGAGCTTCTGGTCTCTGGAGCCGGTATCCTCAGCAGGGAACATTAAGGAAACTACAAATAATGGGGTCTGCAAACGGCAGCAAAACTCAAGACCATTGTCCCACTCCTGGTGGCACAGCAAACCAGCCAGATGGAGTGAATCCAGTGGGTTCCCGTACTTGCTCCAGGGGGGTGACTGTGCTGCAGGGCTGTTGGAGGAATTGGGAGCAAAAGGGTGATGCAGTGCGGTCTGTTAGGAGCCAGAGGGAAGGAGTAATAGCTGTTACACCGTTGCATAGATGTCCCTCTGTGGGGACAAGCTTCCTGCCAACAGTGCTGAATGTGCATTTAAACAGTGCAGAGACCTAAGCTCTTGGAATGTGCAGGCTGGGAGGAAGGAGGCACTGACTGGTTTATTCCTGGGCTGTTCCCTCTTGAAACATGCTCCTAGCAGTTCTGTGTCCAGAACTTCGGTACCGTTGCTGAATGGCAAGCACAACCACTCTGGCCCTGTCACCACGCTGACCTCTCTCTCCCCCCCTAGGATGTCCATGAGGAACCCTGTTTCTCCCCACCTGGAACTCGATGGAGCTGGGAACATGGTGAACTGCACCATCAAGACGGAAGAGAAGACAGACAGCTGCCATGAGTCCCCCCAAGGAGGACCCACCAGCTCCGATCCCCACTCCAGTGATTTGCACGGAGTGCCGCTGTCACTGAGAGAGAGTGCTGAGCCCCGGACTCTTCCACAGGTTGGGCTAAGTCTTCTGGGTCCCTTCTCTCCTCATTGCCTACAGGCTCGGGCTCTCCCCTTTCCCACCCAACTCACAGGGCCCAATCCCAACCTGTTGTAAGCAGGTACAGTTGCATAGAGGCAAATTTGGTGCTGATTTATGAAGTCAATAGGATTCCTTGTGGTATATGTCTGTGCCTTGAATGCAGTTGCACCTGCTGACCCCAGGTCTGGCTATTGAATTCATCTGTCTAACCCAGGAATCTCTAATGCACTTATCACTCTGGTAACTAAGCTCCTTTGGCCTACCAAGTCTTCAAGCATACTAAGGGTATGTCAGAGGTGTGACAGTCTCCTGAGTTCCTGGTTAGCACCCTAACCACTAAACCATCTTTCTTCCCACCTTTCTGCGCTGTCTGGCACTATGAGGTTACCCTTTCCTGCCAGTAGTTGGAGACAGAAGCCAACTTGTCCTCCTAGACTTGAGAGAGTAATGCCACATTGCAACCTAGACCCCACAGCCGTGCAGCAATGTGGTCTGTAGGTAAGAGAAAATGGTTGTTACCCTGTCCACTGCCTGCATTTAATCCTTATCCATAGGAAATAAAGCTGAAGTTTGAGGCTCCCCCAGGCTTTCTGCCCATTCCTGATATTATCGAGTCAGTCTTGGGATTTGAACAACGGCCTTCAGAACAGAGCCAGCAGCCCCAGAACAGATGTGCTGCCTTAGAAGCTGCTCCGGGTCCGCTGGGGAAACCTGTGGCTATGCTTTAATTTTCCCTTTTTAATTGCTCTTGGGTGCTGAGCCACTCCCGCTTGCATAGCCTCAGACCCTGCTGCTTTCAATTCCTGCCTTCCCAGAGGCGGTCGCATTTGGAGCGAGGCATAGCAGTCTAAATAAATAATTGAAAACGATTGCAAACAAGTGTTTGCAGCGTGAAAAGAATAAGTCACCTTCAGTGCATTAGAGGCTCATGGGGCTGGTGTCGGTCAGGATTAAGGAGTCTCCAGTTGAGAAGTGCTGTCTAGTGGTCAGAGCTCAGAGGCAGGCTGGGCTTTTCAAAGGAGCCCAGAGAAGTTAGGCACCCAATACCCATTGACTTCTCCTTGGAAATGCCAGCCAGCACTCCTAGGCTCTGTTCCTACCCCTCCTACTCTCCCAGGACCTGTTCAATAGCCCATTAAGGACAATGGGAGTCCTTCCATGCCATTATGTCAGGCCCTTCCCTAGAGACTGTGGGTAAGTTGCTTAACCTCTCCCGTGGTTTCTCCATCTGTAAGCATCCTGCCTTTTTCGAAAGGTTGTGAAACTGCTTCTTTGTAAAGTGCTTTGAGAGCCTCTGAGAGGGTCTATGTCAGGAGTGCGCAGGGATATTTCTTGGAAAGCGGAGCTCAGGATGGTATTTTATACCCTTCAGTGTATTTTCTCTCCTCCCTGCTTCATCCCATCACAGGAGCTACTGAGTCTGGTGCTCTGGCCTGTGTTACATAGGAGATTAGATGTTTGCGGTGGTCCAGTCTGTCCTTGGAACCTATGAATCTTATCCCTTTGGAGGTTTGTGGTGATAGGTGGGAAATTGGGAGTCACTTTTTGTACATTGCAGGAATCCCGGTCTCCTGTGAGCAATGCGTTAGATTCCAGGAGGTCTGCGTTTGAGCCTGCCGTCAGCAGCCAGGAAAAGTTAGATTTCAACAGAAACTTGAAAGAGGGTAAGAAGGGTTTCTGATCATCTGTCTCCATTGAAATCCCCCTGATCTACGGACAGCTTTATCCTGGTCCTATATTTTGGGGGTATCTTTTATTTTTCTAAAGTTTTGAAAGAGGCCTCCGGTATAAAAATAAACATACTTTGAACAAGATCCTGAACCGGTGATAAGCAGTGTAGCCTCATAGATAGGGCCCTGTCAAATTCACAGTCCATTTTGGTCAATGTTATGGTCATAGGATTTAAAAAATCTTAAATTTCATGATTTCAGAGATTTAAATCTGAAATTTCATGGTGGTGTAACTGTAGGGGTCCTGACCCAAAAGTGTGTGTGTGCGTGTGGGGGCGGGGGCTGGTGTCACAGGTTTATTGTAGGGGGGTTATGGTATTGCCACCCTTACTTCTGTGCTGCTGCTGGCATGGCGCTCCCTTCAGATCTGGGCACCTAGCCAGCAGCTGCCGCTCTCTGGCCACCCAGCTCTGAAGGCAGCACAGAAGTAAGGATGGAAATACTATGCCCCCCCTTCCCCCAATAACCTTGCGACACCCCCCTCCTGCAGCCCCCTTTGGGTTGTGACTCCCAGTTTGAGAAATGCTGGTCTCTGCTGTGAAATCTGTATAGTAGGATAAAAATACATAAAAGATAAGATTTCACGGTCCGTGAATTTGGTAGGGCCCTACTCATAGACAGTGATGGCAATCAGTGGCCATGACTAAAATTGTTTCTCCTGCTTCTCCCTCTCTCTCTCCTCACCCTGTACACTCCTGTGGTGACAGTTATGCCAACCATTGAGAAGTTACTCTCCAGTGACTGGAAAGAAAGGCTTCTGGGTAGAAACACCATGGAATCCAAAGAGGTGAAAGGTGAGCAGTACAGTAACTACCATGCCCTCCTGGGCCCTTAACTTCCCATCTGCCCCCTGCCCTTTTTCTCCTTTGTCTTGTGTGTATGAATGTTACAGCAAGTTGGAAAGGGGGTGTGAATGGGGGGCAAGTTTTGCCTCCATCCTTCCTCCCCCACTTTTTGGTTTTGGTCAAAACTGGAAATATCAGTAACAATTTTCATCGGAATTTTGTTGAAAAGTTCTGACCAGTCCTAGTGAATATTCATCTGGTCTGAACTCGAATATGTGACTCACTGGAGTGCATGCTAAAGGGATGAAATACAATGCAACCCCTTCAATAAAGTATCTAGAGAATTTGTGGCCAAGTCCCAGCTAAGCTCTCTGCTGGCTCTAAGGCAAGGTTCTCAAACTTCATTGTACCGCAACCCCATTCTGACAACAAAAATTACATGACCGCAGGAGAGGGGGGGTCAAAGCCCAAGCCCGCCCTGACGGGGGGGAGGGGGTGTGTGCGCACGCGCAAAGCCAAAACCCAAGCCCAAGGCTTCAGCCCCAGGCAGGGGGCCTGTAACCTGAGCCCCGCAACCCAGAGCTGAAGCACTTGGGCTTCGGCCCCAGGTGGTGGGGCTCAGGCTTTGGCCCCGGGCTTCGGCCCTGGCCCCAGCAAGTCTAACGCCAGCCCTGGCGACCCCATTAAAACGGGGTCATGACCCACTTTGAGGTCCCGACCCACAGTTTGAGAGCGGCTGCTCTAAGGGTATGTCTGTGCCGCAGTTAGAGGTGTGACTGCAGCATGTATTGACCCCAGCGAGCTTTGATCTAGCTCGCTGGAATGACAGTCGTAGTGAAGCCGTGACAGCGTGGGCTAGCCACTCAAGTATATACCCAGGGTCCTGGGTGGGGCTATACATCTGGTGCTCCCCAGGTACCCAAGGTAGCCAGCTCACAGCTAGCTCAAGTATGTCTACATGTGCTCACACCTCTGACACCAGTGTAGACGTACCCTAAACCGTGTAGAATAATTGGGGTATCGTCTGTTCAGCCAGCCAGCCCTTGTTTACCCGCCCTCCTCTGTTTGGTTACTTGCTTGGCCCAGGAACCCAGGAGAGCTTAGCGGAGAAGGAGCTGCAGTTGCTTGTCATGATCAACCAGCTCTCCACCTTGCGGGACCAGCTGCTGACGGCCCATTCGGAGCAGAAGAACATGGCAGCCATGCTGTTTGAGAAGCAGCAGCAGCAGATGGAGCTGGCTCGGCAGCAACAGGAGCAGGTATTTGGCCAGTGCTCTGGGGTATCTATTTCCCATGCCCTGTCTCCCATCTCAAGGGGTTAGTTTCAGAACCAGGGCAGGTAGCCCACATTGGTAGGGCTTCCCACAGTCTTGGCTTCACCTGAGCTGCACCTCAGAATTGGCTGGAGCACCAGGACCGAGCAGGGAATAAAATATAAAGCCAGGTGAACATCAGATTTTGGCAATTCCGGAGAGGGGGTCGGGGGGCCGGGGATTGCGTCGGGACACGCTACGTGTTTTGTTTCCATTGTGACCATTTTAAAGCTTTCAAAATGAAATTGTTTTTTTTTAATAAACTTAAAGAAATTCGGGAATGGAAAGTCGTTTCCAAACCGACAATTGAACTGTTTACAAAATGAGGAAACGTTTTGACTTTTTCCAAATTAAGGCTAAATGAAGCACCCAGGGGCTAGTGCAACAGTTAGTGTCAGGGCTGTGGCGCTTGATCCATTCCAGGGGATTAAGCTGCAGTGTTTCATGTTTTTTGAAATTAGATAAAAGCAAATTTCAGGTGGAAACTTGGGACATGTGCCAGGACGGACAGTTTTGTGGGCAAGTCACTGGGCTGGGACTCAGGAGATTTGGCTTCAATTCCTGGCTCTGCCACGGTCTCCTTGCATGACCTCACGTGGGTCACTGCATCTCTCTGTGCCTTGGTTTCCCCATCTGTAAATGGGGTGACTAATCCTTCCTTTATCCCAGCTGTTGTGTCTCTTTTATTTCCTCCAGAGGGAAGTTCAAATATAGCTTTTAAATGACTTAAGGCTCCTTTTTTTTGTTTTCTCATGATTTAAAAAAAAACATTGTCATAATTCTGTCCTTTCAAGCTGGGATCATCTTGGCCCAGGGAGTCTTCCCGGGTGGAAGGTAGGGGACAATTTTTGAGGCTAACCCTAGGTACCAAACAGCTTGCTCCTGGATTTGGCTGGTGGTTGCCTTGTTCAGATGATACAGGGCTTCTGGGGTAGCGAGGCAGGCTGAATCTATCAGTCAGGACGGAGAGCTTGCTGGGGTGGCAGTGGGGATGTTTCTCTTTCACCGTGGAAGGATCGTGACCACCATCTTGGTCATCAGTGGTTCCTTCAGATCTAGACCTGGGGTGCCTCAGCTTGAGCTAAAGGCCCAAGGCCTTGTCTACACACTGACGTACCCCGATTGAATTAAACCAGTGCAAATACCTGTGTGGACCCTCTCAGTGCAGTTGAAGAGCAGTGCGGTTTAGCTTAGTTTAAACCTGCTTGACTTAAGCTACCCAAATGAGAGCATCCATGCAGCCAGTTCAGCACCGTTACGCCTTGAGTTAAGAGGCCCCTCGCTGGCAGCTGTAGCTTTACCCCACCTCTGAGGATCACCACATGGGGATGGGGGACACATTCTAACCAGTGGGATGCTGGCAGTCCTGGGTGTATCCTCTCGTGAATCTGCCCGTCAGAGACGCCGAGCCCTCCATTGCCCTTATGTCCTTGGCATCTCCGCAGACCAGTTGTGTTTGTGGCTTGTTTTGCTAGGCCTCGGTGCGTTGCACCCCTCCCGTAGCCCCTCGGAGGCGAGCCCAGGCTAATGGCCCTTGGAAGGCTCGGTTAGCCGGCATTTTCCAGCCGCCGTATCATTGCTGTTTCCCCCCCCGACAGATTGCCAAGCAGCAGCAGCAGCTCATTCAGCAGCAGCACAAGATTAACCTGCTGCAGCAACAGATCCAGGTAAGGGGGAGCTTTCCCGCCCTGCCCCCCTTGCGCAGTCCGTACTCTGGTCCCCCTTCGAAGCGCTAATGCGCCCCCTCCTCTTCACCCCACGACCTCGGCTCCTGCCTGCACGGGAAACTCCTTTACCATTGCGAGTGGGGATTAGCCCCCCGCAGCCCAGCTGCCCTGTCCCGCAAAGGTGATTTGGTGTCTCTCTCTCCAGCAGGTCAATATGCCCTATGTGATGATTCCAGCCTTTCCTCCCAGCCACCAGCCTCTCCCTGTGACCTCAGACTCCCAGCTAGCACTTCCCATCCAGCCCATCCCTTGCAAGCCAGGTAAGGAAGGCAGAGGGGGTACAGTATTATGGGGATCAGGGCAGGGAAAGCGACTGCGGTGAGCAGAAAGGGGGAGAGGTGGCTTTCAAAGGGTGGGGGAAGAGGTCTGGGTGGGAGCGTGGACTCCCCTCAGAAATACCCTCTACATAATCAGGACACTCTCCCTTTCCTGCCATTCCTCGGGCTGCGAACTCGGGGTTTGGAAGCTCAGGGAGAGCCAGGGAAAGTTGTCTAAGAAGCTGAGATGGGGTGGGGTGGTGGGGGAGAGGCAAATTGCTTTCCCTGGCAGGTTTCTGGTGATCTGACTGAGGTCACCTTGGCCCATCTCTGGCTGGCCATCCGGGTGGGAGTGAAACCACTCCTGAAAGCCCAGGCGGTGCGAGCCGGCTTTCCTGTTGTCACTGAATCTGGCTGCAGCGTCCTTGGTGCTGTGCAAGCCGACAGCTGAGCGCGGACTGGCTGCTGGATTAGCTGGTCCGGCCACCTCGCTGCCGGCGCTCTGTGGTGCCACTTGGGCAGGGTAGTGGCATGCAGAGTGTGGAACTCACACTGCTGCTGCCCTTCCCCTCTCTAGGTCAGTTGGGACCTCTAGGTGCGACCGTAATAGAAATAATCGTAATATACTTGAATCCTTGCTATCCCGTGGGTCTGCACTTTGAACTAGCCCCGCTGGCAGGCTGGTTTCTAGCAGGGGTTAGCTCCCCCCATGCAAATCTCTCGTGCAGTGCCACGGTGCTGGGCTGGAAATCGGGGCCGGTTCCAGGCCCAGACAAGGCCTAAGTAGATCCCACCTGCCCTTTGCTTCTGGTAGCAGGCTGCGTGCGAAGTACCTGTTGTGACCTCATTGGCCAACTTCCCTCTCGCTGTCCTCTCTGCAGTGGAGTACCCCATGCAGTTGCTGCACAGCCCTCCCCCTCCGACACTGAAGAGACCCGCCGGCTCAGGCCACCTCCAGATGCAGGTACTGTCCTGAATCTGCCGTCCTCCTGGGGACCCAGCATGACCCAGGGACGTGCCTCACTCTTCCCTTCTCCCTGTCTCCTCCCCTCCACCCAGGAGTCTTCACAGCCACTGAACCTAACGGCCAAACCCAAAAGCTCTGAGCTCTCCAGTGCCTCCAGCTCACCCAGCTTGAAGATGAGCAGCTGCCGGTCCCTCACTCCTAACCACGGGGTCACGAGAGACCTTCAGTCCAGCCCTCCCAGTCTGCCTCTGGGTAGGTACCCTCAGACGTGCTCTCTGCTGGGCATCCCTTGCCTTCATCCCCAGCCTGCTCTGTCATTCGGGTGTGTTGCTTACAGAGGAAACACGCTCGCGGGATCCTAGTGGTTCTCCATCTCCCTCCTCCCCACGGGGAGAGAATCTCTCCCTAGACCAGGGGAGCTGGTCCATTGTTCAGGGACTTGCCTGCTCTGATGTTCAGGGCAGTTCTGGGGAAAGCAAGATGGGCGACTCTCTCTGGGAGAAACCGAGTTGTCTGTGCTGATGCTGGGAGATGGAAGGGTCTCTAGGCAGCCTTCTCAAACCCCACCCACCCAAAGAGAGATCCAGGGTGGAAGAAGAAATGTGCTCCATGCCCAGAGGAAGAAGAAAACCACCTACTGGGAAGAAGCACCCAGGCTGGAGGGCTCCCTGGGTGGAGTAGCTGGAGTCCTGGGTGGTGCGGATGGAATAGTGGGAGACCAAGCTTTCTGATTTGAACCCTCTGCTTCCCTTGCTCGATGCTAATAGGGAATGTGTCGGCAATGAGAAACTAGAGGCTCTAGATGTCTCTTAGCTAGATTCATGGCTCCGATGGCTGGGAGTAACCCCATTCGTTCTTGGGTGTACGGGGCCTATGCAAGGACAAGGTGCTGGCTGTGACGTGTTCTGCGCTGGGTGTTCATCCTCAGGATTTCTGGGAGAGGGGGACGCCATCACTAAAGCACTCCAGGATGCACGGCAACTCCTGCACTGCCATAGCGGGGTGACGGAGAGCTCTCTGAATAACCCCTACCGGAAGGTGAGTGACATTGGGACTGGCAGTGCCAAGAGGCTGGTCCCTGGTAGAAGGGGGAGATCTGAGAGGAGACAGCTCAGCGCAGAGCGACCAGGGGGAGGGTGTGAATGGATATAAAGGAGGGGGGGCTTAGGGGAAGAGCCCTATAGGATGTAATAGAAAATCCCTTTTCTATAGGTTCCTTCAGACTGTCTTCTAGAATTGAATGGAGAATTGTCTCCAGGCTGTAGCATTCCGTAGGTTGGTTGAGAAACACCCTCTGGAGAAAGAACCTCATTCCTATGAAACCCTATTGAGGTTCCCAGGCATGTCTGCAGAGTGCTGTTGGTTGTCTCTCTTGTTATACCATATAGGCCCCCTTTTCCATAAGGGCACTGCGGGTTGGGAGTGGAGCATCCTCCCCAGGTAGGCGATGCTGAGCGTGGTGTATGCCGGAGACCCAGGGAGTGGATCTCAGGGACTGTGTACCACACACTAGAACCCAGGCAATCCTGTCCGAAACTCATCCCTGTGTTGTGCACATGGCTGAAGTCCTTGCCTGACAGTTGCCCAGTCAAGAGCTGCTGGCTGGATTGCCTGCCCATGAGACAAGGAAGTGCTGGACATGCTCCCATGGGGGATGGTTCACTGCCGGTCAGTCTGCCACCAGTGACCTTACTTGTGTTGGTAACTGGCCATAACTTCTGCTCTCCACGGGCCTGCAGGACCAAATGGGCTTGGATTCCTCGCCCATGAAGGAGCGGATGGAGGAGACGTGCATGCACAGACTGGACGAGTCCATGTTAACCTGTGATGTGGATGGTAAGGACACATTCTCTGTGTGAGGCTTTCTCCAAACTCAACTCTGGGCCTGATCATGAGAGGTTCTAAGCACTTTGGACACCCACTGCAGTGGGGATTCCCTGGGGTGGGCTGAATGGGAGAAAATGCATCACTTTTCCTTCTCTTTTCTTCTGTTCTTCTCTTATTTTTTCCTTTTCCATTCTTCCCCCACCCCTTCTTCTTTCTTGACCTGGCTACCTAGCCCCGTGTCTCTCTTCGGGTTGCGCTACATACGTTGAAATAAACAGCCAGAAGAGAATAGCAAAGACCTAATATAAGGGAAGTGCTTATTTGAGATGGGTAGGAGTTTCATTTGTGGTCACTTGGTTGATTTCCTGCAGCCCTGCTCTGCTGTTCTCCCCAGCTGATGGGGATGGTCAGTGTTACAGCTAAATTAGCACTTTTTGTATTGAAATGGCGCTCTTGATACAGAGTGAACATGTGATGCTCCGAGGCATAGGAAGCCATGAAGAGAGGTGGCAGGCAGCCAGGGAAGGCCACGCTAACCACTTGTGGCTGGGCCCATCCCCCAGAGGGCTCAGAAAGGGGAAGTAGAAACGTGGCATCTTGCACCATTGTGTAGTTCACTTAATTCCACTTTATTTTGCTTGGTTTCATCTTCATTTAAAAAAAAAGTCAATTTTTGATCCTTTTGCTCAAAGCCCGTTAGTTACTATGGAGACAATGATGTCATGGAAGTGGGTGGAGCTTCATGTCATCCACAAGGGTGGCATAAAGTCTTTGAGAAAAGGCTAGATTGAGGCGGGGACCATCAGGGAGTGGGTTACGGCTCCTTGATTCTGGGGGTGGTCTGCACCAAGGGATCTCTACGCCAACAGAGACTCAACGGACCACAGCTGCACCCTAGCGCCGCCAGCATGGCCCCTGTGCCCACTGGTGTGGGAGCTGCTCCTGGTGGGCTTATGATAGACAGGAGCCAGTCCCTGCCCTTCTCCTCAGCTGGCCAGGTACAGCCAAATCCTGGCTCTTGATTGGTCCAAAAGAGCCAGCGGGAGGGAAGGTGGCCTAAGGGATGGGCCATGGCTTGGGAAGGCGTTCAAGGGTCTCTGGCCCCACAGGTGGGGCGGCCAAGTGCCTGTGCGTGGACTGATTTTGACTAATGCCAATGATGGACTAAAAGTCCTGGCACGAGACATGCACAGTACAGACGGGCTGTTCACGCTGCTCTCACCTCCGCCTCTGCTGTTCTAGTCAGGGACCCCTCCCCCAGTGCGGCTGAGGCCCCTCGGGGTCGATGCTAAGCCTTTCCTAAAGGTTAAAGGGGCTAAATGTCAACGAGGGACTGAGCTAAGACCCAGCCAGTCCCCTTAGGCCAGACTTCCCCAAAGCGCCCGTTAGCTTTGCGTGCCCCAGCTTCTGAGTGCCTGACAGGAGACACCCAGGGCCTGCTTTTCAGAAGTGCTGACTCCAGTGAAAGTTCAGGGGAGCTGCAAGTGCTCAGCACCCCTGAAAAATCAGGCTCTTAAAGACAGGAGATTTATTTTTCCAGAGGATCTGAGAACTCACAACCCCAGGATTTGTCCAGTTGGGCTCCTAAAAATGGAGGCTCTCAAGGATTTGAGCCTCAGTCTCTGTGGTGAGAATCCAGTGCAGCATCAAGTGCCCCTTATTCTTATGTGTAAAACCCCCTTGCAGGGGAGACTCTTACCACCTTGGTCACCGTTTTGTATCTTGTGTTTGGTCCTCACTTTCCCTGTCTTTTAACTGGCTCTTCCTTGCTGTGCTCCTAACAGGCTCACGACACTTCCCCGAGTCCAGGAACAACAACCACATAAAGCGGCCCATGAATGCTTTCATGGTGTGGGCCAAGGACGAGAGGCGAAAGATTTTGCAGGCCTTCCCGGACATGCACAACTCCAGTATCAGCAAGATCCTGGGTAAATGTCCTGCGGGCAAGCGAGGGTGGGGTGGGCTTTCCGTGCTGGGCTACTCCCAATGATGTGGAATCTGCCGAGCTGTTTTGCTGACCCATGCAACCATCAGCCACTGCCTACTGCTAATGCCATGCAGCCTACAGCTGGCCAAAGGGCTCTGAGCTAGGATGAAATGACAGAAGCAGCCCCCTCCTCTCTCCCAGGACAGCTTGTTGCAAGAGTCTGGATCCTCCAAACCGGTACATGGATGCACTGACCCAGCAAAGCAGCAGGGCCATAAAAACACACCATTCTGCACCAAGAGGAGGAAGGAAAGGCTGGTGCTGAATATCACTTCACTGGCCACAAGTGGCTAGGACCACTCTTTTGTGCGTCTCTCCCCAAAGTCAGCCTCTCCAGCAGCACGGTGCCCCTTGGCATCACATTGGGTCCTGGGGCTGTGCATTGTTTTTTGGGGGAAAGCATCAGATGTTGCCCCATTTTCTGCAGCACTTGGTGCTTTCCCTCGATGCCAACCATCAACCAGGCCTAAATGTGCTTAGCGTGTGAGCTCTGAGGATAAGAACCAGTGTGGTTCCTGGCTATGGAAAGAGGGGTTGGTAGTGAGGAGATAATCTTCAAAAGACAAGGCTATCTGTCCATCCTTATCTAATCTTTTCTGAGCTTGTCTAAGCATGTCTTAGCTGGGGTGAGAGGGAGATAAGACACCAGTGAGATGCACTGGTATCTGGTATGATTTGACTAGTGGAGACACATTAAAGCTGTGGGAATGAGCTAATCGTGCAGAGGGGAAAGCTTCCCTGGTGGAGAGGTCAGTGGTGGGACATGATGGAGAGCGGCAGGCTTTTGTTTCCCTGGTGTCCGAGCTGGAATCGGAATGGCAGGTGTTTGGGCAGCTAGGAGCTAGCTCACTTTGACAATGATCCCCAGTAAAGGAAAGACCAGGATATTTCTTATAGCAGCTGGGCTTTCCCCGAGCCCCGTTCATTGATGGATTGTAACTTCAGTTCCACAGCCCGAATGTTCCCTCCAGGATGGATTTGATTTAAGTCACTAGTCAGGAAGGCTCAATTTAATCATGGATTTCTACATAAAAGTGCATTCTTGTTGGTTGTTCTAACCTTAATACATATTCTTCACAACTCAGAGACAGATGTAGGTTTCATTTTTTGAAGGTACACACTGTACATTTTTAACGTGATTTATTTTGAAAACTTTTCAAATTAGTTTTACATCTATATCAGAAAATGAATGATTGTTTGTTTGTTTGTTTTTTCATTTACCAAAGGTAATTGAAGCAGATAGTTCACTTCCCAATGATTTCATAAATATCTCCAATTCACCAGGTTAACATTAATATTTGGAGGATTTTCTTGCCATGTGTATTAGGAGGAGAACATCATCAGACAGACATTTTAAATTGTTTTATTTAACTAAAACAACAACGTTATGTATTCTGGATTCTTTTCTTCAACAGCAAACATATAATACTTTAACAAAACAAGTATATGAATTTTTGAATTTAATTAAACATTCCAGTTTTTTAAAATCAGGTTTGTTTTTGTTAAAATTGTTTTTAACTAAAATAGTTACAAGAAATATTAAAAAAAAAAAATTAAATTGACCATGTCAGCCAGGTCAACATGAGAATCTTAAAATATTGGCTTTTACAGCTAACTCAGTTGTCTTCACCTTCATTTTCCTGTTTGTTCATAATTTGGAAAAGAAAAACAAGCTTTCCTGCTTTTTCAGGTCCCAAACGATTTCTCAATTTGGAATGAATTAGTCCAAAGGAAGAAAATATTCTCTCTACACCAGCAAAAGAAGCTACTGCTGTTAAAAGTGAGATTATCACTTCAACAGTCTCTGAATCCAAGTGCTTAAGTGACTTCCACCAGTTCACTGGTGTGACTTTCTTTAAAACATCATCAGCAAACATATATTTCTTGAATGGGTCTTATTCCGAAACTGGGTCTCTCTTATGGCCTGCTGCCATTATAAGTTTTCCTTTCTAGTGAGAGAATGGTATGGTAGATCTCAAATCAATGAAGGCTACACTCAAAAAGACCTCAAGATTTCTGGAATATGCTGCTCAAACAGTTACACTTTTGTTTCTACTGCCTGTCCCTCTCTTCTCACATTTATCTCCAGACTCCTTCTCCTTGTCCAGATCTATTCCGCCCTCAAGAATCTTCTATTCATTGAACTTTTTGAAATTTTGCACTTGTAGAGAGAGGTAAGGGGTTGGCTCTGTGTACACAAATTTGCAGAGGGACAATAGGATTGAGGTCTGTTATTTCTCACCTCTGTATATTATTTATTTAATTAATTAATTTAAAACCGTTTTGCTGTTAACACGCATGTTATCTCTGGAGACAAATCCAGTTTGAGAAGTGCAAAACTAAGCATCTCTGATGGTATCTTCTAGACTGAGCACTGAGTCCCATTGGGTAGATAGAAAGATTAACCTAAATACTCTGTACGGAAGCCCCTGGAACCCCGTAAGATTGGGTCCCTAATCCATGAACTACTGGAACTCATTTACAAAACTTTTCTTAAACATTACATGAATATACTGTCTCATACTATAGAATTAGAATTTATAATCCCTATTCCATAATGAGATATCTTTGAGCTATAATGTATCTTAATTAAAACTATCTTTAGATAGATTTTTTCCTCAAAAAGCATTTTATCAAAAAAATCCGATTTAAATTAAAAAAAAAAGATTTTAAAAAAAAATAATTGATTTTTATCAACCCTGGTTCCCTCCTTCCCCCACTCTTCTTTCAGATGATCCTCAGTGTCGCAGGCTAGAAACCAGAACCCAGATCAAATCCTGGCTCAAGTCAGATGGGAGGCCAGGGGTCAGAGAACTGGCCGTGCAAATGCAGCTGTAAAAGGAAGCTTCTTCCCTGGTGGTCTATGGCATGGGGCTCATGAAAGTAATGGACTAATAGTGCAAGCAAACTTCCCCCACCCAGCTCTGCCCATGTATCTAATTCCCGATCTGCTCCAACCCCGTTAGTCCAGTCCTGAGTCCCCCGACCGCTCTGCCAGTGCATCTCCTTCCAGGCCAGCCAGACATCTGCTACCCTGCCAATGCACCTGAACCCTGGCCAGCCATTTCCCTGCTGTGAAGCTGCAGAATGTCCCCTGGACTGAGACAACAGGGACAATTTTTGTGACGTGCGTGTGGGAAATGTCCATGAGAGCGTAGTCTGATCCCACCAAATTCAGCGCACTTGTGGCATAAGCATGGTGTGACACCCCCCTCCCCCGCCCCAAATAAATCCAGAGGTGAAGGGCAGGCGTGTTTACACCTGGCACTATGCGCTTCAGTTTTAATTCAAATAATATTCTGCAGTTACAGCACTTTTCATCGGAACATCTGAAAGCGCTTTTACATGCATTAAGCCTTACTCTGCCCTGTGAGACGTAAATTCTTCTAGCTCTGTTCCACAGAAGGGCAAAACTTCTCCAACCTGCAGAGGGGCTGGGTGCTGCTATCTGATCCCGCTGAAGACAATGGGATCTCACAGCATTTAGCCCCTAAGTGACCTCCCCAAGATCATAACACTGTCCGAGCTGGGAAATAGAACCCAGGAGTCCTGACGCACAGTGATCTGCTCTGAACCACACTCTCCTCCCAGAGCTGGGAACAGAACCCAGGAGTCCTGACTCCCAGAGCCCTGCACCAACCAAGAGGTGACAGTAATAAGATTTTACCTTTCTAGAATATTGTAATGACTCTCTCTACATGAGGGTTCAATCCTGAGCTTTTCCTGTCACTGTGTCTTGTTTTACAATTTTAAGTGTTGGGTGTAAATATTTCATATAGATTTTTATATCACAAGAGTGTCTGTCAGACCCTCACACCCTTTATTCTGCTCCGTGTATCAACGCCCCTGGACTATAGCATTCTGCAAAGGCCTCCAACACACCTCACCATGCACCCCGCACCGTGGTCTCATGTCGAATTGCTTTGTCTCAGCTTCGGTAGGCTTGCTATTTTAAAGCCTCTGGTGTGGTCTCTGAGGAGTCCATCCAGACTGCTAGTAACAAGTGCGCATTAGCACAATGCAGGGGTTTGTGGGTTACCCTCAGAGCATGCTTTTAATTTGGTCTCTTGCTCCTTTTAGCAGCTCTGCAATGAACAAAGCTTCTCCCTCTGAAGAATCACTATGTTAGGATCTGATCTGTTACTTATGGCAACCCACAGCGTTTGGAGGGTGTCAGGAACAGCCACGTTGTGGTGTGCTGGCTGCTAATGTAATTATGTAGCTTTAAATAACTGGTGAGGTTCTTGTTTTGGCAGTCTGTATTCATTTCTGCACATTTAGCAGAGGTGGAGAACACTAGTGGTGGGTGTCTTTTTGTATCCAGAGGCATGGAGCTGGTACTTGCCCAATCTGTGGTTGTCCGTGTGTATCTTCCGGAGGCATGGCTGGTCCTGGCGATCTGTGCATAAGATACTTCTATGGGAGTGTCGCCCTGTTGGCTAGAACAGAGGAGTGGGAGTCCCAACTCCTGGGTTCTATTCCTGCTCATGCTCTGAATTGCTGTATGACCTGGGGCAAGTCCATTAACACCCCTGTGCCTCAATTCCACATTGGTATAATATTTCCCTACTGCACAGGGGTGTTGTCAGGTTTAAGTGCTTTGAGATCTTTGAGTAAAACATGCCATGCAGTTGGTCGGTAATCTGAACAAACATGACATGCGTTTGCAGGCATTTTACCCTCATATACAGCGTGACAGACCGTCAGTGCTATGCTGTGTGTACAGCTAGGGGCTACTCCCAAAACACTTGTTCTCCTGCATATTTCATATCTGATCTATGCTGGATTCTCCCTTTCCCTATGCCATGTACAATATTTACATCGGTACAAAGGAATTGGATTGGAAAGCCCCCGGTTTGCACTTGTGTAAATAACTCTCCAGGCAACAGAGATCCGGACCCATCGTGTTTGAACCTTACTATTGCTTTTTGACGTGAAATGTAACAGCTGAGGCAGAGGTAGAGATGGTTTGAGTGTTTGCCAGCCGGCGGGTGCGTCGCTCCATCCACACATAACAAGTGGGACCGACTGGGATTGTGTGCCGTAGAACCTGGGTTCTGTCTCCTGTGAGTGGTTTAGCTCTCAGCTGGTTTTCGCTGCCTTGCAGCTGTGGATCGGTTAGACTGGACACACAATAGTCTTCCAGGGCAGTGTGAGGTTCATATGGCTGTACTAGAAGGGAGAGTTTCCGCTCCCCCAATCCCTGGCAGTTCTGGGAGTAGGGAGAGCTGGGTGTAGTGTAAAAGGCAGGAGAGAAAGGATGAGCCTGAGACTGTACTTTGCCAGGAGCGTGGGACCCCCTACGCTGACCGTATTCTTTAAACTTGGTTGCGGTGCAGCAGGTGAGATCTAAGCTCCTGTGCGGGCTAGCTGTGCATGTCTGTGTATTCACAGCATCCGTGGCACGATGGACATGAAAGCATCTGGGACAAAGGGGAGGGCGAGAGAAGGGCCATCAGATGTAAGGTTTGACTTTGTCTAGCTCTGAGCAGGGGTCTGTCTTGTATCTGAACTGACCCACTTTTACCCTGAGGCCTGATCCAAAGGCCCCCGTTATTTTCTGGGGAGCAGGCCCCGTTCCCGTGACAAAAGTAAGGTGTTTCTCTCCTGCCCCTTCCCCAGGCTTGCTGGTTGAGTGTGACCTTCCCTTTCTGTCCGGCCTGCATTCTGTGCACCGCTCCCCTGTTTTCCCCGCCTGCTCTGGACCTTGGCAGGGATGACAACAAAGGTCAGCGAGCCCGGGGAATTCGAGTCACATGGCAGGACTGTCTATTTTAGCTGCAGCACCTGCTTGCCATACCTTTTGTGAGGGAAAAAGAATGAAAAGTCCAGGACGGAGAGGTGACGCAGAAAGGTCAGCGGCAGGGAAGGGCGGGGGGAGGCATTCTCTTTCACGACAGGTGGACTGGCTGTTAACAATGGCCTGGATAATCACATTTAAATGGGAGCAGGCTCCGTGGAATAGCCCTACATTCCTCTGTGCCCTTGATATCCTGTGTCCCCTGTGACTGCATTGTCTTGCTGCGGCTTGGCATACCTCTCAGCACCTGCCAATCAAAGACAATGTCCTGCACAAGTCGCTTGAGTTGAGTGGCTCCTCTTTTTTTCAGATGTCGTTGTATGCAAATAACAGTTTCTTCCCCTGCCTCCATAACGTCTATTTGATTGTTAGCACAGTAGCTCCTAGACTGAGGCCTTGTCTACATGGGGAAATTGCATTGGCTTAATTTAAATTGGTTCAGTTACACCGGTGCAAAGTCCCGTGTGGACTCTCTTATTTTGGTTTAACTGAAGCTAGTTAGGAATGGGTTTAAGCTAAATGGAAAAACCCACTCTTAAGTGTCCACTTGGGAGTTAGACTGATATAACCACAGTATACTGGTATAACCAGCAAAACTTTCCCATGTAGACAAGACCTAAGTGATGTGCCCAAGGTCACAGGTGGAGGCTGTTGCAGAGCCAGGAATTGAACCCCCATCTCCTGAGTCTCCATCCAGTGCCTTAACCCTAATGGCAGCCTTCTCCAAAGAAGGATTTATTTATTTAATTTGGTTGGTTATCTAAACTCGGAACTTCCCAGGCAAACAGAGATGCTTTATTATAGACTGTTAATTTTACAGAGCTAGCAGTGTGCTAGGCACCTCACAGATGGGAAGTGCTGTGTGCATCCATTTTACAGATGCAGAAACTGAGGCAGTGGAAAATTATGACTTGCCTAAGGCTCTAGAAGGATTTGGGAATAGAACCCTGGGCTGTCTTGCTCCCAGACTACTGTTTGGACCACTAGCCATGGTGTTTTGAAGGAAAGGACTGATACTGTGGCAGGCTAAAGCATTGTGGCTCCTGGATTCTTTTCCAAGCTCTGACTCAGACTCACTGTGCAGCCTTGGGCAAATCGCTTTCCCGAAGCTCTGTGGCTCAGTTTCCCCATATGTAAAATTGGGAATATGGACCTACCTTTGAAGAGGATTGGGGGGCTTCATTAATGTTTGTGAAGCATTGGGAGCACTCCTGGAGAATCGCTTATCTGGTGAGGCACTTTGTTGTTGCTCAGGCCCAGAGGTGGAGAGAAGAAAATATCCCCGCTGCTTCTGTTGCCACTCTGGGAGTTTGGGGAAGATTGTGAGAGTCCTTATCTAATGCCTTCCTCCCTCCATCCAGCCTGTTCAGCTTCAGAAGAGAGGGCTTTAAAGGTGTAACAGAATGTGCTGCAAAATCTGTGCTGCATCAAGTGGCAGGTAACTTGAGTGGATAACAGCCTACTACTGCTACCAGCTAACATGGTTATTCTTCCAGCTCAAATGTTAGAGGCATTGGAGGAGGACCTGGGTTTTGTCCCCAGTGATGGCCACGGATGGTGAGGAGTTTCAAAAGGCAAACATAACAGCTCAGTGAATCTCTCTACCTTGCATTCTCTCTTCCTAGGATCCCGGTGGAAATCGATGACGAACCAAGAGAAGCAGCCCTATTATGAGGAGCAGGCGCGGCTGAGCCGGCAGCACCTGGAGAAGTATCCCGACTACAAATACAAGCCGCGGCCAAAGCGCACCTGCATTGTGGAGGGGAAGCGGCTGCGCGTGGGCGAGTACAAGGCGCTGATGAGGAACAGACGGCAAGACACCAGGCAGGGCTACTTGATAGCGTGAGGCTCCATCTCTTTTGGTCCCCGTATACCTGCATTTCCCCTTCCCCCCCACTGCCCTGAAAAAGTGCCTTTGTCTGTAGCTGCCAGCTGCTGAATTGCAAACAATGCTGGGGTGGAACACAGGGCATAACAGTGCTGCACAGAAGTTTAGACAGGAAGTGAAGAGCAATACTGCATCCTGTTGAAATCGCAGTGCAGGTTAGATCAGCAGGACATGATTAGCAGTGTCAGTATATGTCCAGGGCAATGGGGAACCCTAGGATCTCCCAGTAGTTGTTGTGTTACATACCTTGGCCACTAAGAACTTATTTTGGGTGTAGTGAGGATGAAACCCCACATCCTGATGCCCTAGAAGCACCACTTCTGGTTGGAAAGGAGACTCTCCATTAGCTGTTAGCAGTTGCGGGTTCTATGACACACAGCTGAGCCCATCCAGTAAGGTGTAGTGGTGCACAGACATGCTAGCCAGTTTATTGCGCTGTATCTATCCATGTATACGGTAGCTGAGAGAAAGGTGGTTAATTCAATACTGCAAAGGGGCTGTGGGCCAGAAAGACCAGAAGGAAGAGAGAATCCCCAGTAAGGCTTGTCAATAATTTCCCCTCAAAACTGTTTTTAATGGAAAATAAGAGTTTTCAATTGCATGACATTTTTTATGAAAAGTTTCTGCTTTCCGAGGAAAATTTTGGATTTTTCATCTTGAAAACTGACACATTTTGGTTCAAAAATGCCACCGGGGTGCCTCATGGGAGATGTAGTTCAGTTTCCCCCATGAGCTGGGCTCCTCAGCTGGAATACATCTCCCATGATTCAACTGCCTCCTTTCACCATGAGGAGAGACCAGGGTGCATCATGGCAGGTGTTGTCCAAACAGGGAGCCGAACCTATAGAAGAAAATGGGGTCATGAGACACCAGAACTACAACTCCCATGAGACACCACGGCAGCCTTTCCTAATTGAAATATTTGTGTTTGGCCAAAATATTTCTGGTTTGGGGTTTTCCACTGAAAACTCTAATTTTCTGGAGAAAATTTCAACAGGCTTTTTTTTTTTCCCCCTCATTTTCATTGGAATTTTCCAAGGGAGGGTGGGAGCCCCTTTCCCAACCAGCTCTTATGCCCAGGGACGGTGACTGTGATCTCCTGCTTTGCAGGCCCCAGGGTAGTCAGATGCAAGCCTCTTCATCAGATGTCCTGTACCAGAGGCCGGTGAGCATGCAGCTGGTGCCACCGCTGGTGGAGCACTGCCTGCCCCGCAGCATGGACCCCAACATGCCGGTCATTGTCAACACACGCAGCCTCAAGTCGCAAGAGGGTGACGGCGGGGAGGACGGGCACTCGGTGGCGGATGGCGAGATGTACCGGTACAGCGAGGACGAGGACTCCGAGGGCGAGGACAAGAGCGACGGGGAGCTGGTGGTGCTCACAGACTGAGCAGAGAGCCGGGGTGGGGTGCGCGTGTGTGAAGCGGGGAGCAGCAGCAGATTTTGCAGTGTTCCCCCGCCTGGGACTGGAACTGAAGACCTGACTGAGTGGGGAGGAGATGGGAATGGGGGCTTGGGGAGAACTGCCATCACAGCATGGCTCCCTGATCTAGGAAGTGACTAGATTCAGGGGGTCGCTTGCGAACCCCTCTGCGTGCAGAGCTCTTTGCAGCTGGGCCACCCTTGCCCCCCGAATGGCCTGGCATGCAGGGCTGTGCTGGATGTATATAGTGGTGTGCGGGGGACAACGGGAAGTGTGCATGCCAACGCGCACAGCATGGGGGGAGCCTTAGCTCATTCGCCCGCCCAGAAGGAAGAGGTTCCAGCTCTGCTGTATAATGCATTTACCCAAGCAGCAACGGGGATGGTGCTTGGCATGAGCTGACATCTGGATATTTCCTTGTGGCACAGAGGAGGGAGGTGCCTGGCCCCTCAGCATGGGGGCAGAGCAATCCCAAGGCTGTGTAAAAGCTAGCTAAAGTGGGAGGGGATGCAGCTCTAGGATGGTGGAGCTGTGAACGTGGGGAGCTACTGCACAGCGGATCCAGAAACTGCCCCTGTGGAATCCAGCTTTCTCCCTCCGGAGGTTGCAGGGGCATGGGTTAATGGCTCCCTGCCGGGCAGGCCTCTCGCCAGCATGAGCAGCAGGAAGTTTAAAGACGGGCTTCCGGGTGAGGTGCTGCAGGGTTAGTTGGATGTGGAGGAGCCCAGCTCCCCTTGACTGAGCCATGTTGTGCGCGGAGAGCCAGGCCTGTGGGGGAGAAATCCCCGCACAGAGGAGATGCAGGTAGGGGTGGGCTTCCCTCCACTCCCTCTTATCCTTAGGCACCAAGGTCCATCCGGAGTCCCCCACTGCATTGGGGACGGGTGCTACCTCCTCCTGGCTCCCTGCTGGCTAAGGAACAAACCCACTTCATGGGAGCCCTCTCTCTAGGGCTGCAGATCCAGGCCCGCTTGGAGCATGGGGCTCAGAGCAGTTGGTGGAGGGTCCCAAGTGAGCTACAAACAGCCCATATGGGAAACGCCTCCCGAGACTCTCCTGCCGTTAAGCTAACAGGACGCGTGGGGATGGGGGAAGAGGGCTGGAAAACTTAACCTGCCCCCAGCGTTACAGATGCATTTGCCTCTGGGCAGCCCTGGCTCTGCGAGGGTTAAATAAGGAAAGACCCCAGCGGCTGGGAAGACCTTTGTCCATTGTCTTCCCCCCGCCCCCCCATCCCGGCCCTGTTGTGCAGCCAGCTGAGGAGAATCCTCACCTGTTCGGGGCCCTGCCAGCTGCAACAGGAAAAACACAGTTGCCACCATTCAGCCAGGCTCTCTGGGGCCTTTTCATTTCTCCAAAGCAAATGTCTGGGTGGAACACTTGTTCCTCATTCAGTCTGTGTGCCAGCCCACCCCGCCCTCGCCCCCCGCTCCTTTGCTCAGGCCTTTCTTTCTCTCGTTCCCCCCCTTGCTCTCTGAACCCTGCCAGTAAATTCCCATGGAGCCATTTTTAGCTCTTGACTAGCATGAGTAAGAGCCAAGGTCTCAGAGGAGCCTTTTATCCTCCTGACAGCTCTGGCCCAGTTTGTAAATAAAGCTGCTGCCCGTTTCTTTGCAGTGGCATGGCAGGGCATTCTGCTGCAGAGGGCTCAGCTCCCGGCATGGGACGGGCACGGAGCCCCAGCCTGTCCCAGCGGCACGGCATTGGCTAACGGTGCCTGTAGCAGACTGGGACCCTCGGGTTGGGATTCCCCTGCGGCTCCCCCAGGTGAACCCCATTGGCTACCGGAGGGCCTGTGCTGCTCTTGCGGGTCTCCTACAGCTTTGCAAATCCGTCTGAGCCGACACACTTTGCCAGCCACTGTCGCAACGGAGCATGCCAGCTGTGTTCTCTTCACCTCCCCAAGCAAATCCTCCTGGCTGGAGGTATGATACAGGCTATGCCTCAGGGCTGGAAACCAGGTCCCAGCATGGGACCCTGGCTCTCCCTGGTGGCAGGAGCTGAAATGGCATCCAAAACAAGCCAGCAGCCCACAGGCAGGGAGTTAGTCCTGGCTGGCAGGAAGGCGAGGTCCATTCTGACAGCTGGGATCCTGTCACCTGCAGAGTCCCTTCCCTAGCATGGCCCAGGCTGCAGTGGGAGGGAAGAGCCCCAGCAGCTCAGGTGGCCGCTAACAGCGAGAGCTGCTGGACGTCCCCCTGGCCTGCGCTGTGGATGGAGGCGAGGGGAGGTGGTCCTCTGCAGGTGCTTCTCTTCTCCGCCCCCTCCCTGATTTGGCTTTAATGCTGCTTGGCAAAGATTCCCCCTCAGGATCATGTTATTGGAGGGGGGTTCTGCTTTACTTACACACCTCCGGACTCTGGCGCCCCAGCTGGTGGCTGCTAGAGGCGTACGGCCTGGGGCCTTGATAGGGAACACGCGGCCCCTGGAGAAGAGCTGCCCGAGATCACTTTGCTGTAACTGGTTGCCTTTATGGAGGGAGGCAGGCCCAGGCAGGCCTGGGTTAAATGGGGTGAATCCCTGAATCTCCAGGGTAGACATGGCAACAACTGGCTGACCTGACTTGGCCGCTCGATCTTGTATCCAGCTTAAGAACTGTGCATCAGAGCCCCAGCTGGTCTAAATCAGCATAGCTGTATTGAAGCTGATGGACCTCTGCTGATTTACACAAGCTGAGGATCTGGCCCTCTTTCTTCTTCTTCTTCTTCTCTCACCTGCTGCTGTCCTTATTTTTTGTGCTATACGCAGCACTCCCTTTCTGGCCTGGGGCGTGGGCCCCTTTCCTGGCTTGGGCTTGGTTCCTCGCAACCTCGAATTTCTTGTGGTTTGTTTTGCTTGTTCCTTTGTCAGTGCAGCAACTTCCAGACTGGGGGCATCCCCAGGCTGAGAAAAGTGTCTCCTTCCTAAACTGCTGCACAAGTCAGCCATGCTGGGAGAAGGAGAGCTTCTCTAGAGTTCTCTCGTAACCCCCTGTAGTGATTTGGGGTCCCGTCACCCTGGTGTCCAGCCGAAGGTAGGCACAGCACAGGTTGCTCTGTCAGAAAGCGGCGCGTTTGTATGCGAGACAGAGAGCGTCTGAGTGAACAGTGGTCCTCAGATTCAGGGCAAAACTGAACTGAGGGGACGGGTGCGTGCGGGTAGGCTGAACCTCAGGATCCCCTCAAAGGCCCGGTGGCATATCTGCCCCAGCTGGTGCTGGCTTTTCCATGGCAGGGCTCAGCCCCTGTAAGGGTCCCTTTCTCCGTTATTTATTACACCTGCCCCTCCTGTGGTGTCCTTGACAAGCCCCTGGGGTCCAGGTTAGGGGGGCTAAGGGGGAAGGGATGGGAGGAAGGGGACTGGACAGGCAGGAATGCATTGGAAATAGGAATCATCCCCCGTTCTGTAAATCGGCCCCAGATGTGCCCAAGGAACCAGCTGTTTTTTGGTTTTTTTTATGACTGTAAATATAGATAGAGCTTTATTTTGTTAATAAGACGACGAGTAACTTAACCTGTATATTTCACATACTTGTTTACAACGGTGGGGTTTTTGTTTTTGTTTTTCCCCTCTTGGCTCAATAAAGAGGATGTTTTGGAGCAGAGATCTGGGCTGTTCTGCTTTGGGAAACAGATCACAGGGAGGGAGAGGGGTGCGGTTTCTCTTCCTCCCTCCCCGCCCCTCCTCATTCTCCTTCGCTTTCGTCCTTCCTGATGCTTTTTCTTTCCTGGTGTGGCCTCTCTTGTCTTACTATCAGCACTCTCTTCATTGTGCCCCTCCACCCCTTGTCTAGATTGATCGTCAGCACCAGGATCAACCCCATCACCTTTGGCTGTCAAAGCACCTGTCTCGACTCCCTGAGCTCCACGGCTGACATTGGCTGGCAAACATCCATGTGGTCCGGGACAGAGATCCCCATTGGGTTGGCATGGGTGACAGCATTGCGAAGTCCTGTCTGTAGTCTGTCTCCGCCTAACGATTCCTACCTCTTGCCTGCCTACCTCATTTTCCTTTTCTCCCACCCGTCACTCTTGTATCAAGCCTCTGGCTGCAGGCTCAGCCGGCTGAGAAATGGGTGTCCTGCGGCCCCCTTGGTGCATGGCGGTGGGTTTCCGAGGGTGCCCTTGTGCTGATGAATCTGAGAGGAGTCTGCTCCAAATGTCGCCTGGGGTTAGATACTTTCCACTGCCCAGCATCCGGATGCGATGGCCCTATCGGGGGGCGGAGGGGGCTTCCATCCCCTGCACCCGATGCCTCACGCAGAGTAGCTGAGGAACCCACACGTTTTGTGCTGTGGCCCCCTTTGGACATTGATGTTGCTGTTCACCCAGAGGTTGTTAACAAACGGAAGTGATCCTCACGCTTTGCCCCCCGCCCGCACCGGGCGTGCCCCCCAGTTTGAAACCCAGGGCTGGGCATGCAAGCCAAACGCTATGGCCCCCTGCCCTCTAGTGGCAAGGGGGGGAACTGCTGCTGTTTACGAAGTTTCACTTGTTTCTGCTTGTGAGTGGATGACTGTAGAACACAATCTGGGTCTGAAAAATGAAAGCGAATGATAAGGAGGGGTGTCTGTGGGGGAAAGGCGTTACCTAGCGTTTAATTCCCTTGGGTGCTGGGGGTTATGTTCCTCTTGGTTTTCATATCACACCGTGGGGAATTAATCCAGCTGCTTCTCAGCCTGGTTGCTTTAAAAGTCTTTCTTTGGGGGTGAGAGACGGGGGGAAAGGTCTCCTTTCGGACTCACGAGCCACATGGCCGAGAAGAAGCAGCAGCTGAAGAGAAGTCGGTGTGAAATAACAGTGAGGAAAGGGGGGGAGGGCACAGAGTCCCTGGGAAGGAGGGAGAGAATGCAGGACCTTGGTATAGAGAGAAGGGAGAATGGGGTCCCACATAATCCCAGGCAAGGGGGGGAACCCTGCTATGGGGGGAAAGGGGTGTAGGGGCACACACAGCCCCTGGCTTGTGGGGAAGGTTAATGGGGAAGCCCACAGAGCCCCTGGTATGAGAGGGAGAATGGGGGGAGAGGGCAGTGGAGGGAGGTTGGGGAGATGTAGGGGGGTGGGAGGGATGCAGGGAACTTGCAAGGGAGAATAGCAGCCCTAGTTCACGCAAAGCACTACCCCCAGCCTATGTGAGCTCCAGAGGAGGTGTCGCTGTGAAACAATCTTCATATTAAAGGTTTTTACATGCAGATAGAGGTCTGTGGAAATTCTGGTCCCCTCGCAGAGTGGAGCGGAGTCACTGAGGGGTCTTTGCCCTCACTGCTGACCTGTGAACCGGGTGTAGCAGGTCTTTATTTGGAAAGGAAGTAATTTGCAGAAAGGTGGTCCCTGCTCCTCACCCATCTCCGAAAGCCAGGGTGGCATAGCCACCTCTTCCTAAATAATATCTGCTGTTCTCAGTGGGGCCACCAGCTACACAAATTCAGCGGTGACCACTCTCCCAATTGTGGCTTGAGTCTCTGTTAGGGGAGAGAGTGCATCCTGGTAGATAGTGCAGCGCACTGGGAGCCAGGAGAGCTGGGTCCTGTTCTTCTTTCTGCCGTTGGCCTGCTGGGTAACCTTGTGCAAGATTCACAAAGGGGACTTGTGAATTCACAGCCCTGAGCTGGCTCCCCAGGCCTTGAAGAGAGAGAGTGAGGCTCCTCACAAAGGTATTCACAGAAAGCAGCAAGCTGCGCAGGGAGCCCCTGAGCTAAGCCAGCAAGAAAAAGGGAGGAGGGGCCTCAAAGGTGGTCAGGTGCCTAACGCTGGCCTAAGGAGAGCCACCGCCAGCCGCTGGGGATTCTCAGCTCCGAACGGGCTCTTGGAGTTCTGTGACTGACCCACCTGTGCCCTAGAAGCAGAGAGAGCCCCCGCCCTTGCTATTGCTACGTGCCCAGGGTTTAGGCCGCTTGCGTGAGAGGTGAGAGACATGTTTTCCGATGCCTGCTCTGGCTGATTTGCAGCAGGGATTTTGAACCTAGGTTTCCCACTTCTTGGGAGAATGCTCTAGCTCCCCGAGGACAGGGTATCGGGGTAGGCCTCTCCTGGGGAAACTTCCACTTTTTATAAATAATAAAAGATATTTTGGACCAGCGCGCGTGAGAGAGGGAGGCTCTAACCCAGTGGTTCGGGAGCTCTCTGGGGCTATGAACTAGTCAGCTTTCATTCCTTGCCCCAATTCCCAGCATACAAAACACCAGCTCCAAACCAGGGATTCAGAGGGTGTTCTACACTGGAGGAAAGGGGCCTGGCTGCTGGGACGAGGGGTAGAGCTGCCTGCCACAAGAATTCAAACATCCCGCTATACGCTGGGCATGGTAGATGTGCTCTGAATACCTAGCGTGAGAGCCACGACACCAAGAAGCTCAGTGGCACCAGGAAGGCAGCTTGACACACCCTTAGCAATAGGGCTTGGGAGGCAGTTAATCTCTCTGGCCCAACACGTTTACTTGTTAAAGCTGTCCCACTGTGTATTAAACAGGAGAGATCGAGGGACGGGGAGTATCCTGAAGGTTGGTGGCTAGTACATGGCCCTAGTATGTAGGAGGCCTTGATTTGAGCTCTGCTCCAAATCAGGAATTCAGAGGTGGGGTTTCCCCTTTCAGGTGCGTGTCCTGAAGTGTGGGGTGGAGAGATGTGTGTGCATTAAAAACTCCTACGGTCAGCTCCAAGCACTTACCTGTGTGATGGGCTCCACCGGCAAAAAATGAACTCAAGAATTGGCAGCATCAAGACCTAGGTGGCTTCACACGTCTCTAGGCAGGGACTTGATCCTGACTCGGATACCTCACAGCTGAGAGGCCCCAGCTACTGGGCTGCAGAGTCAAACTGTTTCTCATGTTCTCTCTGGCCCAATGTATATGTATGTTTGTTTAATACCAAGTGGAACACCTTCAACAGGAGAGATTGAGGGTTCCTTGCTCTGGGTTACCCTGGAGCCTTGTACTTAGAGCTCGGTGTGGAAAGGTAGAAGACCTGGTCCAAAGCAGGAATAAAAGCTTCCTACAGCTCAGGTGAGGGGACCTGGCTGCAAAAAGTCTTAATGTCTCGCTCCCTTTTGAACAGGGCAGAAAAGCTCTGTGCACACATGTACACACCTCGCTTGAGAGTCCTGCCGGAGCTGAGCCGTAGGCTACAGGCAGCGTTGCACACTCCTACGTGTGGAAATTTAAGTAGGGACGTGACCATGAGTGGAGGAGGGGCTGAGCTGTGGGTCCCCCAAAATAGCTAATCTGCAGCTATCTTTTGTGCGGGGTGGACGCATTCGGAACACGCACCCTGACTGTGAGAGCCCCACTAGGTCTTCAGCCCAGAGCAACTGGGCACAATCAGGACACACAACGAAACAGGGAGGGAACTGAAGTGGCCCGATCAATCTCATAGGCAAGGCAAGCACCTAAGCCATTCTCTCTGGCCCAATGCATAGCCAATTACTTACTGCACAGCGGAGCAGGAGCAGTTGCTGCCCCCTGGCGGACGCCCTAACCCACCCTGGGGGTAGAGTGTAGGAAGAGCACAGCTGCTTTCTTTCTGTCGCCCCCTGCATATTTCATTATTTACATACAACGTGGCACTGCTTTGCAAGGAAGATGGGTTCCCCGATAGGCTCGTGGTTAGGCTTTGCCGTGGGGGTGTGGGGACCCGGGGTGAAGCCCTGCTCCAAATTAGGGGCGTGCAGGTGGGCGTTCCCCAGCCAAGGCATGTGTCCCATCCCTGGAGCTGTTTGGTGGAGGAGCAAAAAGCTGTACTGGGGGCTCTATTTTGTGCCGGGCAGAAAAAGCTCTACAACTCCTACTAAGCTTGACAGTCCTGCCAGGGCTCAGGAACCAAGGTCTAATGGGGAAGCCTCACACGCGTGCAGAGAAATGAACACCAGGACTGGAACCTGAGCCTCAGCCAGCCCCGTTGAATGTGCAGACCACTGGCCTAGACCGGGAACGGCTGGAGTAGTCTCTCTGGCCCAACACATAGTTGACTATGGCTACTAAGTGCAACAGCTTCAACAGGAAAGATTGAGCCCCTTCAGCTAAGGACAAGCTCTGGCATGTGGGTTAAGGCACGGTGCTGGACTGTGAGAGCATCCCTGGTTCAAATCCCTGCTGCTGGAGTGGAGGGGTGCTTTCCTCCCAGGCCATAAGAGTGGCAGATGTGCCAGCTGCCAAAGTATTTTTACCAGACAACTGTATTTTGGGCACAGCAGACCCACTCTGAATCCACCTGCTCATCTGAGAGCCTCACTAGGTCCTGGCACTGAGCAAAGCAGCACCAATAGGAGACACACACAGAGCCATACTGGTTTGGGCAAGTCCCATAACCCTCTCCTTGCTTCACCTTGCCCCTGTGTAAGCTGGAAATAATACTGTTCACAAAGGGGTTGTAAGGCTTCATTATCAAATGTACTTGGCTTAAAGAGGCTGTGGCAGAGTGAAGCAGTGGTTCTGGGAAAGATCCGTGGCAGGCTGCTCCGGGGTAGGGGCGCTAACCTAGCTGGTGGGTAGTTCTACCCTGTGTCCCTAAGTCCCCGAGCCAGAGTCTCCGCTGGCATCAGTCAGCAGGATCCCAGTGCCATCAACAGAGCTACGCGGCTTGACACCAGCTGAGGAGTTGACCTGGTCTCTGC